GGCTCGGGAACCCGCAAGGTCTTCGCGACACTCTGACGCCCCCTCGCGGCGATCGGTGCGACTGCGTCTGGTGTCCGCCCGGGGTGTCCCTCCACCGGGGCGCCTACTCCGTGTGAAGCCCGGGGCTAGTTAAATTGGGGGTGAGGAGGGAGACACTGGGGGACTAGCTGAACCTCAGGAAGTCGCCACTGGAAGGAAAAATGCCTACTCTTTTATCCTTTACTCACTTCATTTAGCAGTAGGTCTTTACCTTTACCGTGTGCGGGGTGCTGGGGACTCAGCCATGAAGCTGGAAGATCCAGGCCCTTCCTTACAGATAAGGAAAAACTTAACTGCAGGAGCAAAGGGAATGACATTTGTGACACTGCTCCCAAGGAGAATTGCAGCCCATGAATAACTGGGGTTCCCGAAATCACGTGTGCCTTATTCTAAGTCAGCTAGATCTCAATAAAGATGAGCCGAAGAAGATAAGAACGGCACACCCATGGCCTCTTGCCTCATCTTTCCCCCAAGTTCTTGGGGTGTGTGTGTGTGCATGTGTGTGTAAGAACGGCAGCTCCGATTACACAATCCTTTGCATGCAACCGACCCCTACTTGCCTATTTTACCAAGAAGCCTGGAGCTCCCTCAGAGGTGTGCCCATGGCGACTGAACGCAGCCACGTTGCAGCAGAGGCCCCATGAGGTCTCAGGTTTTCTTTCCCATCTTGTCCTTTACCGTCTGGATATCTTGAGTACGGTCATCGTAGCACCAAACCCGGGGGCTTATAACTGTGACCAGCATCCCTAGGGAGACATCTGGGAGGTAGGAGATGAGAACGGGTGGGCTCAAAGTTCAACTCCTTGTGTGTGTGCTAGGAGCAGAGGCAAACCCTGGCTCATTGTCTGTTCTGAGAACTCCAGGGTCTTTTGTCTCTGGTTCACTCCTATTCCCAGCACCTAGAGTAGCTCTTGGCACGTGGCAGGTGTTCAATGAATATAATGTGTGAATGACCGAGCTAGCTGCCGCCACCGCCTCTTCTCACTAGCCTTGTCGGAACTTCCTGTCTCTCCTGGGCAGATCTAGATGAACGAGAATGCGTGGGCTGAGGGTTCTGTTTCACGGAATGTTCCGTGTAGCTCAGCTGCTCAACCAACTTAGCCCTCCACCCTGGCACCTCCTCTACCCCAGAACAGACGCAAGGACAGGGATAAGACGCACCCCCTCAGAGACTTCGAACCCAGGTATATCCCCAGCCCTGCGGAACCCCCTACTTTCGGCCCCAAGAGATGCTCAGACCAAGCCCCTCATGAGCTCTTCTGTCCCTGCCAAGGTTGAGGGACTCTTAGAAATGCCAAACTACAACTCCCAGAATCCTCCTGGCCCCAGAAGGAAAGAGATTTCCTCATTTCCAGGCCTTAGCTGGTTCCCCCTGCATTCCCCTGGCAGGTGAGAGGCTGCCAGCCAGCACAAGCAGAGCTTATACCCCGACCAACAGGTATCAGGTTGTGCATTGTTTCCAGAGCCAACACCTGCCACCCCCACTGCAGCTCTGGCTTTTCTCTTCCTGAAAATAGAGGGCAGTGCCACCCACGGACTGCCATTTTTCTGCCCCCTCCTCCAGGAAGTCTGTCCTGATTAGGCTGCCTATTCTGGGAGCTCGGCGCAGCAGAATCTTCTGCAGTGATGAAGTTGTTCTATATCTGCACATTCAACACTGGCCATGGACTTCTGAGCACCTGAAATGGAATTCTGAGATGGAATGGAAATTTGATTTATGTCTAGCAGGTGGCATAGTGGTTAAGGCCCTGGACTCCCACATTGTTGACCACGGTTCAGGTCCTCAGACCTGGTGGCTTCAAAATCACACTAGGCACGTGTGTTCGGGATTGTGAGTGCCCACATTTCTAAGAGGAAACTAGAAGAGATTGCACCGTGGCCATGCCCCCGGGGGGCACTTTCTCACTTTCTCTCTGTCTCTCTCCAGGGAGCACATCTGCCCTACGGCAAAAATGTTTAAGAAAAGAAATTTGACTTCATTTCAGTTCATTTGTTTGGCCACTGAACTAGAGTACAGCTCTTGAGCCTCACTCTCCATGGCAAAGACTGTCTTCATGTATTTCCATGGTGTCCACTGACCCAGGGACTTTCCCAGAACCTGCTTCCTGTTACTTACCTGCTTCTGGAGGCTGAGAGCCAGTCTTCAGTTATGTCCCTCAACACTGGGCCTAAGCCCGTCATGCCCTCTGCCAGGAAGACCACCCTCCACCTGCCCATCACCTGTCCATCACTGAATAACCCTCAGATCTTAGCTTTTTCATTTTATTTCATTTTTTGAGATATTTTTGCCATAGGGTGGGTGTACTCGCTAGAGAGACAGAAAGCAAGAAATCACCCCCCAGGGGGGATGGCCACACCTCAATCCCTTCTCCATTCTCCCCTTGGGATCTTGGGCACGCACACACATGCGCCCGGCGTGAGTTTTAAGCCACTGGGTCCGGGACTTGATTGCGGGCAGCTACATGGCAGTCCAGAGACATAATCATTACGCCATCTGCTGGTCCCCAGATCTTAGCTTTCCAGAGCCCATCTCTGACTACCAAGACTGCTCAATTGCCCCTGATTCTTGGGTCCCCAATATCCGCACTGATCACATGGTAGCGTCATTGCCAATCAGGTCCCTGCCTCGTTTTCTAGGCTGTGAGGCCTTGAGGGCAGAGGCTAGCGTAGTACCTGAAAGAGCTGGCACTCGACAAATACAGAATTCAGTGTCGAGTACACTTCACACGTGGTAGAACCCAGAGCCCTGCTCACAGTAATAACGCTTCTGAGAGCTGTCATGCCTTGGGCCAAGCACTTCGCCTGGGCTGTCACTACATGCCACAAGGGCCCCATAAGAAACATTCCATTATGATCTCCCTTTTACAGAAGAGGGATCTGAAGCTCAGAGAGGGTAAGTCAGTTGCCCAAGGGCACACAGCTGGCATCTCAGTCTGGGTCCTGGTAAACAAAGCCTGCGGGCACGTCTTACGTGCTAAGCTTTTACTAGGGATGTGAGCCCAGCCCTGAAAGCGAAGATGAAAGAGGACTTGAGACAGAGGCGCAGGGAGAGCAAATGCAAGATGTGCCCTTCTGAACTGGCCAGTGTCTCGGGACTCCAATCACTCAGGGCATCTCCGGAGAAGCCGCATGCCCAGACCTTCACTGCAGGGATGAAGGATGAGGGCTTCAGCTGGCACCACCGTTCCCTGTCCGCCATTAGTCATAGGGCCCAGCTCGGTGGTGTTATCTGCACCTCCAGGCGGCCACCAGGGAAGCCAGTTCTGGGAAGGCAGGTACCAGAATGCCCTCCTTCAGGTCAGGTCACCTTGAAGGACAGCTGGGGGGTGGGGTTAGGAGATGGTGCCATGACATGGGACCCGTCACTGCAGGTCCCCGCTGGCCCAGTGGCTACAGGGACCAACCAGGCTGCTGCAGGGGCAGGTGAGTGGACGCTGGAGTGTCCAGCATGCTGAGTGGCTGTGGAGCACAGAGCTGGCACCTGAGCAGCTGCGTCAGTCCAGCCCAACATGACCGGCGAACATCCAGATCCAGTCTGGGCCAACTGCAAAGTCCTTCAACAAATAGGGGTTGAAAGCAAGGAGGGAAGGCAGGAAAGAAAACAAAATAAGTGAATGATTGAATGGCGGGGGAGGGCCAACCTGTGGCTCAGTGAGTAAGACGGGACCCACACGGGAAGAGTGGATGTATACTTGGGACCTCTGTGGGCATGAGGGACGCACACATGTGTGACTCATGTATGCCCATGATCTGGGCCCCTGGGACTGGGGGTGGATCGTGAAATGAGTACCCTGTTGGGAGAGTTTGTGTGTGTGTCTCCCTCTGAGTTTCTCTCTCTTGTGGAAAAAATAAGTAAATAAACCACATCTATGTATCTACAATCTATATATCGGTATCTATGTAGACACAGTGCCCAATATGGACTCGTCCTGGGTAAAATACAGAGAAATGTGCAAGCCGGTTCCTGGACCAGACTCACCAGGGCAGAAAGGTAGAGTGTGGAGTGGCAAACTTCCTACACCTGCTGGTTCCCGCAGGCAGCTAATCCCTGCTTGTAACTTTCCCTCCCCAGAAACGCCACACCCTCTCCCAGTCCCGTTTGGGGGCCACCTTTTCTCCTTTTGCCAGTTCACCCAGCAGTCTGGAGCAAAAGTCTATTGATTTAAGGAACTGGGGAGGAAAAAGAAACACACACACACACACACACACACACACACCTCAGACCAGCTGATCACCAGCTGAGGCTTTGTTCCCCAACCTGCACGTTTCCTGCAAAGGGAAGGAGATCTTTGGTGAGGTCACAGACTGGCGTCTGCAGCCGAAGCCCGAGCAGAGGAGACCATGATGCAGCGTGGTGAGCATGGACAGAAAAGCCATCTGAGGTGAGGAGAGGAGAGGGGAGGAAACCAGGGTAACCCCAAGCATTGTCCAAAGGTCATAATGAGTTTCAGTGTCATGGAACCTCTGAAAAGACATACAAGGGTGTGCGCACACACGTGAGTGTGCATTCGAGCCTGCCCAGGGTGAGCGTCTGCAGTTTAAACTCATATTTTTCAAAAGAATTCATCCCTTCCAAAAGGGTAAGCCCCACTGGTCCAGAACCTGGCTTTTTTGTAGAGGTGGGGAAACTGAGGCTCGGAGCTATGACATAATTTGTCCCGGGTGACACAGCCAACCTGTAATGGAGGCTGGAATACATCCAGACACTGGGCTTTTACCTGGCTGTGCAGCTGAGAGAACTGGCCAAGGGAGGCAAGTACAGGCACCACCACCCCCCAAGTCCCGACCCACCCATCTTTGGATCTCAGCCTGGACCTCCAGGCTGGATCAGGTGTCCTCACTCTGTGCGTGCCCCAGCACCATCCCAGCCTTCGGGGCTTTCCCACAGTGAGAGTTGTGCTTTGCTGGTCATGTCGGTCTGCACTGGCCAGAGACAGACAGAGAAAGGGAAAGCGAGAAATCACCTCTCCAGAGTGATGGCGATGCAATCCCTTCTCCATTCTCCTCTCAGGATTTTGGGCAGCAAATATGCTCAGCATATTTTTCAAGCTACCGGGTCCGGGACTAGAACCATGGAGTCGGCCATATGGGATCCAGCACCTTAACCACCACGCCGTCTGTTGGCCTGGGAGTTGTGCTCTCACACGTGCCAGGGGATCTGTTGCTCCATGGGTTGATGCAAAGATACATCCAACTTAACAACTAACACCATACTCGGATACCTCCCTCTCCCCTAATGCACCTGCCCCTCCTGTAGGCTCCTCTCCCACCCTCACTGGTGCCCAGGCCAGAAGCCCTGGGGACCTCTCTGTTTTCAAATCTGGTTGGCTTTTTTTCTTCCATGAGCAAGAGAGACAGAGACAGAGAGACAGCACCCCCCGTCAGTGTCTCAATGCCATAATCTACCAGGGCCCCAGCCAGTCCTGATCATGGGTACCTGAATGCCGGCATACTCAGGGAGGTCTCTAGACATCAACATGGAACCTCCCCGTGGGGTCAGCCTCACAGAGCACTATGGTGTACCACTGTGCCACTGTCAGGCCCCTCGGCTTGGTCATTGACCTTCAAAATAGATCCAGAATGTGACTGCTTTTCACCCTTACCTGCCCTCCCTGGCCAGCCCCAGCCCCATCCACTCTGGTCTCTCACCTGCCAAGAAGTCGCCTTCTGACAATTTCTCCCTCCTCCTCCCTGCCCTCCCCTTCGCCCAGCAGCCAGAATGGTCTTCTGAAAACAGGTCAGGTCTTACCCCTGCTCCAGAAGGTCAGAAGATTAGAGACTTCCCTCCCCATTCCAATGCTCCAAGCCAAGGCTCTACTAATGCCGGCATGGCCGAGCGCTCTCCCACTCTCACTCCTAGCCCCAGGCTTCCTTGCTTCCTCAAACATGACCTGGTGGATAAGAAAGCCAGACTCACATGGCCATTCATACAGTTTGAATCCCAGCCCTGGCAGCTTGGAAAACATGCTGGATACGTGTGTGTGCATGCCCCAATCCTGATGGGATGGAGAAATGGAGAAGGGATTGAAGCGTAACTATGCCCCATGGGGAGGAACTTTCTCCCTCTCTCTGTCTCACTTTCTCTCTTTTTGTCTCTCTCTGGCAAGTACAGGGCCCTTAGGCAAATTTGGAGGAAAAAAAAAATGCTAAGCACACACCTCAGCCTTCGCACCTGCTCTTCCCATGGCCTGGGATAGTCCCTCCCTACATATGCACGTGACTCTGCCCCTCATCTCTTTCGACCCTGCTCAAAAGTCACCTTCTCATGACACCTCCAAGACCATCCCCTAACCATTCATTAGCTCCCTTTCTTGGTTCATCTTTCTCTATGGTGCTTAATAATATTTAGCATGGCGTATACTGACTTGTCCATTCCGTTGCTCTTCCTCACTGGAGTGTAAGGAGGTCTCTGTTTTCCTGAGTACTGAATCCCCAGCACCTAGAACAGTTCCTGGAACAGAGTAAATACTCAGTGACCATTTGCTGGCGGGATGGATGGGTGGATGGACCACACTGGTGTACCCCGTTTCTCTGTCCCGCCCGTAATGTTCTAAGCTCTTCAAAGGCAGGAACTGTATTCTGCTCACCATCATATCCTAGGGGGTGTGGGGGTCATTGAATTGGGCACATAAAAGTTGAATGAATGGGGGCTAGCAGGTGGCATGGTGGTTAAGGTGCTGGACTTCCACAGGGCTGACCGTGGTTCAATTCCTAGACCTGGCTGCTTGCTTTCTCACTTTCCCTTTCTCTCTCTTTGTCTCTTTCTGATCAAATTTTTAAAAACAAATAAATAAAATAAAAGCAAATGTCTTTTTTCCCCTCTTTTTTGGTTAAAGAATTATTTTAACTTTATTCATTTTAAAAAATTATCTTAACTTTATTATTATTACTGCTATTTTCCAGTTTGATCAGAGAGAGAGGAAGAGAGGGAAAGTGAGAAAGCAAGCCACCAGGTCTGGGACCCAAACTGT